TCTTCACCTCTCTTTGCAAAAAATTGCTGTGTGGATCTTGTGGTTGCAGCTCTGGGGTCTTGTTAAGAATTGCAGAAGGGTCTTTCCTGACAGATTTCATTTATCTTTGAGGATTTCAGGGGAAAAAAAAAATTTGAAACAGCTACCACTGTCAGATATAAGATTAATTTATCTATCCATCCTAGAGACAGAGACTAACCTGCCCTCCAGTTTCCTTCCAACAGATGTAACAATAATTGCTCTTTTACTGGCAACAAGAGAATAAAAAGCAAAATACAGGTATGCTTTAGTCCAAAGCATATTTACCCCCACCACTGAATGAAACTGACTATTATACAGTACAGGCTAATTTTTATTGAACAGTAGCAGCAAAACTGATGTGAAAGCAAAATGATTTTTCTGGAGCTTAATATTTTACTGATTTGTCCCATCTGGATCTGGAAGATCTAAAAGCAGCAAAAGTAGAAAATGCAAAGGTCTGGGTGACTAAAACCTACCAATACCATGCGGCAAAGTCACTGCACAAGACACTTCCATAGGCCACACCATGCACAAAGAGACGGAAGCACAAAGGCAGGGAGCAGGCTGCCTGCTCCTGCAGACATGAGCGTTCCCCCTCAGGAATGATAAACTAAAGAATTTATCGTAAAAGCAGAACTACTGAGGGACAAAGAACATCTATTTCTCCAGTATAAAGGTATTTTCTTTACTGTACCTACTTAATGCTATTCACTGAATGCACCAGAGCTCTAGTGAGCACAGTGAGGATCTGGGTATCTGAGACAAAAATGAGTTTACCTGAAATAAGACAGTAACAAGTATTATACTGTTGCTGGTCACTATTAAAACACAAACTGCATACTGTCTGCCATCAAATCCAGTATATTGGTCTTCTGTTTTGTAACACAAAAATTTTCATCAGTAGCCTTTAATGTTGTATAAATGAAACCTTACTGCAGTATCTCCTACAGCATGATTGATATTAAGCAAACTCAGGATAATGTCCCGTAAATGTGAAGATACGTATATTTGCAAGGACAAAGCAGAAAATTTTGAGGCTAAAACCAACCTATATATGTGCAGGTATGCAGCCATCTGTGGTCTCTTTAAATAATAGTCAGATGTGCTTTTAACATAGGTTGCAGGAATTTGGAGGTGATAAAACCCCATCAACCTAACGAAGCAGGCTGTGGTTTGTGGCATGTAGCTTATTGTCAGCAGTTACTGTACCTTGCTGGGGGTTTGCTGCTTACCAGACTAGAGCTGCCAGGCTGATTGTGTGGAAGCCCCTGCTCCCAGCTGGCACAAGCAGAGCTGGGGCAGCTCCAGCGCTGCCGACGACAATTAAAATTGAGCTACCTGCCTGCACCGGAGTGGATTATAGAGGACTCTGGTGAACAGGAGACACGGCTCAGCTGTGGGGTCAGTAGACAGTAGGGGGGCATCATGCCTTGAGTCATCTTGTTCCTTTGAAACAACTGCCTGGCTTCAGCTAAAGATTTCCAGACAGAACCAAACAGTTTCTTCAATCTGAGCCTTAACACTGGGGATTAGCTGTGTGGCGTACTTCCACTTGTGTACAGAATTGCTGTGCTTTACAGCTTTTTTCATCTCTACCCCCTTTCCCATCCGTGCACATTCATTTCCAGCTCATTACTCCTTGTGTCATTATCATTTCACAAGGTGGACACGCAACCCTTCCCAGCAGAAGGCCAAGGGCTGAGCATGTAAAATCTACACCTGAGCTTCTGCTTCTCACAAAACATCGAACGCTCTGATCACTACTTACCGTTCATAAATCGTAACTCAGATTATTGTGCAGGTACGGGGGAGAAGAGGCCCAATCTGCATTTAAAACCAGGTCTCTGAAAGCACACTGCTCTTATACTGATTAACTCTTTATAAATACTCCACACAAAGATCAATCACTGGCTTGTATCAGTGAGATAAAACTCACATTACGTTATTTAATGAATAGGAAATGGCATAAACTTGACTTTGTTTTACTCTCCAGGACAGAAAATGTTCACGTACTTGTTGTGAGGTAGCTGATGTCATCAAACATGTTATGGAATAGTGAAATAGTGGAAGGTTCATGTTTATAAAAAAGTGCTGATGCTGGACAAATGAATGTCAGACATGATCGCAATCTGTTTGTGTCTCTTAGAAGTTCAGATTTACACACGTCTGCACAGAAAAGCACAGGCAATTGAAATGTCCACATTATTGAGTATCTCGTTCCGAACAAACATTGCAGAAGTGTAGATGGTGTCAACCGCCTGCTCTTAAAATTGTTGCCTTTGGCAGAGTCTAGCTCTGTAGCGATAAGGACTGTGCAAGTTACTGCCTTCCTAAATTATAAAATATCACTGTAAATACCCTTTCTTTAGCAGGTCTGGGTTTCCTCTGCTCTGAGACCAACACTGATGCTAAGTTGTGGGACTCTGATCAGTCATCACATCACAACAGACAGGGACAAGGACAGGTTCACAAAATTTACCAGATAGAGGCCATGTGCTTCCATCTGACTCTCTTCTTCCACACATGAAACATTGGTGTGCAGATTCTTTACAAAATACTAAAGATTTTGATAGTGCTAAACACATTGTAATCAGAGATAAAAGCAAGCCTCAGCAGTTTCACTTAGTATCTGAGGATGCTTGGATCCTAGGTTTAGCTTTGCCAACTAAATGCTAACAGGGATTAAGGACAAGCTCTCATTTCACACCTCAGGAATGCTCCAGACCTGGGCAACAGCTCCCATCCCTTTAATTATGACCCCTCCCATGCCAGAAATTGTAACTAGAATCCAAGTGTTTGAAAACCAGACACACAAATATTTGTTGATGAGAGATACAAGAGAATATCACCCCATACACATTTGCATCCCAGTTTTGATATGAAACAGCACTGGCACACAGTATGAAAATGCAAACTGCAGCAACATGCACTTGGAATCACCATGCAAGAGGAAGCAAAAATAAATAAGCAGTTGAAAAGTACCTCAGAAGTAACCTTGCTAGACAGTAATTTACAGGTGTACTGGTAGAAAGGGAAAAGACCAGCATTAGTACATTGAACAAGCATGTTATAACTAGGAAACAAGAACAAAATAAAGAAATTGCAAGAACTGGCACAACCCGGAGTATAAGATTTCAAGCAACTTGATGTCATAAAAAAAAAAATTAGTCATTTTTAATGACGTTGCTTGGCCAGTCTCAGCCTTGTTTACCATCAATGCTTGACCTATTTTCTTGCTGCTGCTTTTTCTCTTTTTCTCACCTGTTGAAACCTCTACTGTAACATATACTTTTTGGAAGAAACTGCTCTGTTGGCTGAGCAGTGAAGTTCTTCCAAGAGCAGATGCGCTTGATCTGCCCTCTGTCTCTGAAACACAAAACCTGCAAGCCCCAGCCACAGCAGCTGTGTTGTACCCACTGAAGCCAGACATAAAATAGAAGGTGGTGATATTTAAAGGAGAGACAGGGTAGATGTCCTACTGAAACCACTCTCCTGCCTTTTGGTCTGTCTTATGTAGGGAGAAACTGGAGGTCTGTACATCAGTACTGCTGGTGTGTTCAGCATACGAGGGAGAATTTCCATGGACATCAGAGCTCTCCACAACCCCATTCTGGAGACCGTGGCTGCTGCCTTCGGCCCCTGCAACAGTGCTGGCTCTGTTCAGCCTTGGCCGCCCGGCAGCCTGCCTCCTCGCAGTACCCAAGGAAGTCTCTGGTTCCCCTCACTCACAAAGAGCAATGCTGAGGCATGTTCAGCCCTCAGGACTTAATGCTCCAAGTGGCAGCTGCCTGTCTGGTTGTCGGTTGCGTTCCTTCCCCCATTATATGTCATATATTTTTTAAAAAAAGACAGTGATGTGCTCTTTTGTTTCCTTAGTTACAGAAACCTTTTTCCTGAGCACGTGATCAAATGTCCTCTGCTGACAAATCAAAGCCATTTGTTGTTTAAGTAAGTATTGCTGAGCCTTGCATGTAAAATATTAGCTCAAACTAACAGTGATACAAGTGCAGCACTTCTTATTTGAATTATCTTGCTCCTGTCAATGGTGGGAGTTGTTTATCAAAGGAGAATGTAAAAAGGCAGGGAAGAGAAACAAAACTCTCCTGCTGGTCTGAGGAAGCACTCCCTGGGCTCTGCAGAACACTGCCGTCTAATGAGATTTTTGGATAGGCAGCAGCAAGAATGCAAATCTTGTTTGGTTGTATGCAATGGGCTTAGAGAAGAGGAGAATTAGAACAAACTGCAACACCGTGGGACACAGTATGCACTGGGGCTCTGTAAATTCACTGCAGCCTTGACAATTCATCCCAGAAAAGGATCTATCCTACAAGTTGCCTGACCAGCACCAATGCTCTGGCAGTGCCTCTTCGGGCCGTCAGTGCCCGGGCAGCTTTAGCAGCAGTGGACAGCCAGGCTGGCACCCAGAGCACACCTCTGTGGTCAGATGCTGCTCAGACTAGCACTCCGGTCAGGACATCAGGGCTCACTTCAAACTGCAGAAGAGACTATGCAATTATGGCCAACCTGCTTTCTAGGGGGCACATGTGCAGCTCTGCAAACACCTGCGGAGTTGTGCTCAGGTAACTGAGAAGATGGAGTTAGGTCTAATGACATCTTACATGTCTTTTGCGTGCTACAACATGGATGACAAACAGTATGTGACCATCAGAGCTGTGGGAGAAGATTTCAGTCACAAGCCGCTGCTTCATTGGCAGCGCAAGTTAACTTCACTCTTCACAGGGATGGAGGAAAAGCACAGGGTGAGTACCAGCTGAGTGTCATCTCTTTAGCACAGCAGCTTCTCAGCTGTGCCGAGGTTTCAAGCCACCAGACTGAGAGCCACTCACTGCGGGACTCCCAAGGACCAGTTCTGGTTCACACAGCAGGAGTTTTATGCCCTTCTTTTTTTGAAGTTCCTCCTAGCTTTTGCAAAGAGCATGAGAGTGTGTCATGTCTCCTGCAAGCCTCTGAGCACCCTTCAGGAAAAGAGATCCTCTGGGTAGATGCCAGAAAACAGCGTTCACCAGAACAGGTGGAGCCACCCCATTTCACTGTGTGCTTTGGGGAGGGACAAGACATGGCCCCAGGATGATGCTGGCAGAATGTGGCAAGCTTCTGTGCATGAGCTGGCTTTCTATGTGGTAGCAGGAGCCTGATGGACAACAAGATCTTGTTTTTTAACGGGACCAGAAAGTTTCTGGTGTGCACTGGAAATTAATCTGTTTACACTTTCAGTCAGCTCTCCTACATGTTTTAGTTAACCAGCAGAAATGCAACAGGACACCTCCACATTACGTGCCTTCTGATTTTAAGTATGTTACGCTACTGTGCAATATTCACCAGCAAAGACTAAAAGCTGCCAGACTAGTGCAATATTCACATTACAAACCTTCACTCACTTGTATGAGACTGTACCTTTAAAGAACATTACTAGAAAGCAGTTCGTTTGGAGCATGAGCTCCGTGGCGCCGTCAAGATTGTTCTGACATCTCTGGGAAATGCCTGGAGGACTGTGGCTGCTTAAATGGATCGTGTCCATTTAAGAAGTTTTATATTGCACTTACATCTCACTATCTTCTGCACTCATTGCCCACAGTAACAATGAGTCTGAGTAAGAAACACCTCCTGCTTTGGTGGGAAACAGGTTGTGTAGCAGTTGCACTTGAATTTTGATATTTCCAGCTATGAAATTCATAGCTCTTCTTATTAGTGCCTCCAATAAAGAACACCTTAACTGGGTTAAACTCTACTACAGTAACGACTGAAATGCAGGCACTCATTTCACAAACTGAAATTCTGGCTGATTTTCTGTTTGTGTGGAGGAAAGACAACAAATCCAGTGGGAAACAGCATGCTGCCCATTGAAGGATCCAAGTTATTGTCTGAGACACTCCCAATCCAGATCTGCAAGGGGTGGTTTCTGGGGAAGCTATGCAGTCACAATGAATCCTGAGCACACTGATATGGGACTTTGGGGGTCTACAAACACAGGTACGAATACATACTCGATCCACAAAGTTGAAAGAGCCGCTAAAATAACCCATTGGAGGGTCTCAGTGATGTGTGAATTAACAGAGTCCACCAATTTCAGGGCAGCTACCTTATTATTTCTTAACTTAATTAGTTAAAATGAGATTTAATATGAGTTGCCTTCGATATTTGCAGTGACACTCTCTCATCCTCTCCACTGGCCCTCATCTTTCCATTTCAAACACATTGACCCTTACAAGGTGTTAAGATCCTTACACACTTGCAAGGTGATCTGAGCAGATTCTTGGGACATAAATATTTTTGTTGTCTGAGTATTGGCTCTCGTGAGTCATGATTTCTGTTGCAAAGCAAAAAGTGAAAAGGAAAAGTGCACTTACACTGCTGTCATCCATCCTTTCTCGTCTCTTAGTTTTGTGTGTTTCGTAATCCTCCATGAGGGTCTGCATCAGGTTCTTGGGTCTCTGGGCTCCCACAGGCTCCTCAGGCATTAGGTCAGACTGTGAGGCAGGGCACTCTGTGGTGGGGGATGGAGGAGGCTTGATCTTCTCTATCTTTCCTGCAATGACATGAAAAGGAACGAGCCCTTCTAAGTTGAGGGACTCACAAGTTGTTTCCAAAAGACGACATCTGGAGAAGCATTTTTAGCAGAGTTTGAATGAAGAAACAGTTTGGAATGAAGTCTGTGAAACAATCTGGTAAATCAGGATGGTCACGGGCTTTTAAAATAATCTCCCTCTTCCCAAAATCCGCTACACCAAAACACTACAAAATCTTTTTACAAAACCTTGAAGAGTTAGCAAATGATACAAAACAAATTTAACCCATCGCTATTGTTTACAGTAGTATCTGGCTGCATTACCCCTGTTCCCTCCTACAGGACACATTTCAGTGATCTGGAAATATTTGCAAGATTCTGGAAAACTGCAAGATTATTTTTTTTTTTCTTGCTTAGACAACATAACACACAGGATGCCACCACTGAACATCAAGGACCACATGTGAGATGTCCAAAGAAGGCATCTTGTTAAGCATTGCTGGCTTTTTCTCTTCTTCCAGTGCTTTTTGTCTGCTTTGTAAGCATGATAGGCTTTGCATTGGTCCTTGGTGCTACTCTTCCCTGCAGCTGTTTCCTGCAAGTCACAGAAGGTGTTCCTGGAGGGAGACCTGTGGCAGAGCAGGATGGGGTCTCTGTCCCACACACCCCTCGTTCAGACATGGCCCTTCAGTCTCCTGGTGGGAGGAAAGTCAGAGAATAGTCGGGCTGCTCTCTGACTGAGCCCATTTCACCCAGGGGAGCCTGTTTTAGGCAGAGTGATCCCAGCTGAAGAGGTGGGTAAAAGGCAGGCCAGAGCAAGGAAACCACTGCAACGAGCTGTGGGAGAGCTCAGAGAGTGGACAACTCACGCTTCTCCTGGGAGGACAGCCCGCATTTCTCACCACCAGGTGCTGATGTGGGGTGTGCCGCCCACCTTGTCCCGGTGGGAAGAACAGGGAAGATGGTGGCAGGTCGTGGATGTGGGAATAAGTTGTGGGGCTCCTCAGCTATGACAGGAGAAAACAGCGCTGAACCAAAATCAGATTTTCCATGACACATCAGCTCTTTGAAATACGATGGTTCAATGGATGGGAAAGAAAAAAAGGAGAAAGAACCCCAACCCAAAACCCTTACAAGTAAGTGAAGTAATCAGAAGGATCGTGCAAATTTTCGTGAAGCCTTCTGTTGCTGAGGCAAATGAAAATTCCAAAAAGCATGATGACAGTGGCAGCCACTAGAGAGCAGCCTTGAAACCTCCTGTAAGAATCAGCAGGCTTTATCCTTGAAGGAAAAAGTGAAACCTGAGTCGACACTGCATTTAACTTTGCTTAAGTTGTGATGCAGGGATGAGGCTGGGAATTCGTCCCCCTTAAATCACCTCACCAGAGACTGGAGGAGGAGTTTTTCTGGGCTGAGGTTCTTCTCCGGGTTGCAACACCAGCAGCTCCGCAGACAACCAGGAGACAGGCTGCCAAAGCAGAGACCAACAGCAGGTCCTGAGCTGCCTATCTGCACCCATGTGTGACAGCTTGGACTGCTTAGCAGGAGAAAGTAAAAACCACTGTCACCTTGCCCATTAGGTCCAGTGGGTACAAAAGTCTGCTGAAAATAAAAGGCCTGATTAAGGGTCAGATATCTTGCTGTACTACCTCATTCTTACACCAGTGAGTAACTGTCTTGGACATATGCAAATAATGCAGGAAGAATCAGGCTTCTCTGATGTCTGCCCAGCTTTTGTTTTCCCCCAGGGATGCAGACACATCACAGGATGCTCAGACCTATGGACAGGCGTCATGCCTGAAAAGAGCTCCTTCCACTCCACTTCCCCTGGAAAACAATGCAAACCGTGGGCTTTGGGGATCTGCATTTCCAAGCAGATCCATCCTCTCCAGATGGAAGGCCTACCGATTTCTGTATTGTAGCAGCAACCCTGCAGCAACATGCAAGTGTTCTGCACATCCTGGGCAGTGTCACCACGAACAGTGTCACAGTTCCCTTTTCATAAAGAGAAGCCAAGGTAGCAAGGAGATTTGTCCACTGCAAAACAGTGGTTTGCTGGTTTGTATCCACAAGAAATCATGCTCATACAACCATTTTCTCTGTGTAACTGTTTGAATTCCACTTAAAACTCAGGAATTCATAGCGTCATTTCAACTTGTTTTCACAGGGGAGTAAGTTCCTAAAAAATTTGTGAGAACAGGTAGGCATGTGGAAGAGTGAGATCCTACCAGTGCCAACAGTGTCAGAAAAGCAAGCAACCAGCACAGCCACCAGTGAAGTTGTGGTAAGATGATGGGGTGTCTGAGGCTCCAGGGTTCTCAGAACAATCACAGAAAAACTCCATGAACATGATGCCAAGCACCAGTCCAGCATAGACCTATTCTGCCAGACTGGACTGTGTTAGAAATGTTGCTGGGTTAATTTTCTTCTGGCAGATTTTCATCCAGATAAGGTACTGTTGTCAGGCAGAAGAGTCATTCAGCACAAAAGCATCATGAGAAATGATGATCACAGGCACTTTCTACTTCCACAGTCCTGTGCTCATATCTGATGCACACAGACACTCCTGGTGGTCCTTGCCCAAATCCAAGCTGAGTAATGTAGGAACTATGATTTGATATAAATGGAAACAGGGTTACATTCGCAGCAAAAAATGCCATCTGATGGTCACACTTGTCAGTTAACAGTAGTTACCAGCAGTGTCTTCCCCTCCAGGGGAAGATAGTCCCCTGAGGTTGCCTTTAGAGCTGTTGCAAAATATTGAGTACAGGCTATAGCATCACAAATCTTCATCTACACGTCTACATTTTTCTCCTCTTTTGAAGGGACTCCACTGGGGAGGGGAAGGAAAAGCTCATGGATGGGGCAGCTGCTGCTGTTTCCCAGTCTGGCGGCTGCAAGACATCACCTGTCACCTCTCTGCAAAATCAAAGATGTGTAAGAGCTTGGGGACAGATTAGCTTTCTCCTACCTAAAACCTCTGCATAGCTTTTAGGAGCAAGACGGGTTGTGATGGCGACTTATCCACCCTGTGGAACCTGATGGATGTCCAAGCACGCGGTGCAAGCTGAGGAAGGATGCTCAGCTGATTTGCTGCAACATGAAGAAAGAGTGATCAAGGAGAGGCCATGGGACAAGGGCCTGAGCCACCACTAAGTAGCCAGCAAGTACCAAGGGCCATCATACAGTTTTAACTAAGGTACAAAGGAGATGGGAAGATTGAGGCTTCACACAAGTAACAGCAAATAATTTACAGAAGCTGTTGGCATTTTTTAAGACATCCGCACAGCAAAGAAAACTTTTAAAAATCAGGTAGTTCAGCAAGACAGATTGTTTTAGAAGACCAGTCTGTGCTGGAGTCAGAGGACAGCTGAAGTATGTAAAAAACATCTCCCTCTGGAATGCGGAGCCTCATTACCACCCCAGGTGAAAGGCAGGCTTCTTTGGTCTTCTTGAACACCATATAAGCAACATGAATATGCAAACACACAAACAAATATTAAAAGAAGAACCTCTCAAAGGTCCTCTTACTTCATACATATTCCCCACCAGGGAGGGAATAAGAGAGCAAATGACAAATGAGCTGAATCAGTATGCTGTTAAGACACTCCTGGAGGTGTTCAGGGGATGAGTGACTCCAGAGGAATCCTTGAAGGGAATGATGAACTTTGCTTTTTTCACACCAGTGCTTATGAAGGGGCAAGGAAACAATATCTTCCATAAACTCAAAGCCTTCATTTCTGCTCTAGCCTTTCTCAAAATTCTCATTTTAGAAAGGGATTCATGCATATGTATTATAGCTGATCCTTATTCTTTACATGTATACAGGGCATTAAAAATCTTGCAATGGCCACAAACATTAACAAATGTTGCCCCAAAGTTTCTGTTCTCCTCCCACCACACAAAAAGTATCTTCAGGGTGCAGTTGAACCTAAGAAGTGTCTTTCGTGTAGGTATTTACTAGTGAAAAATGAAAGTGGAAAATCGTTTTGAGGCTGAAGTGGCTCCTCGGACAGAGGCTTACACTCCACAGATATCACTCAGGAGAAGAAAGCAAAGAGAAGAAAGAAGGCAGCACACACATGTCCCTCACTATTTGGCAGGACAGTTTTCTGAAATTTGAAGGTACCTGATCACTTGCATCTCTAAACTGCAACTCCATCCCAGGCTTTTGCCATCCACTGAAATTCTCTCACCTAGTTCATCAACTAAGGACAACAGAAGATGACGGTTTGGTGGGCAGCTCTCCCAGATGCATGTGCAGATGGGTCTGAGTGCCTGCAGATGAGCGCAGGGAGTGCAACATGCCCTCTGCCTCACCTGGCAATGTTTTGGTGACAAACACCAAAAAGGCAGATGCAGCAGCTTCAGGAAAGCTTCTCCTTCTTGTGTTACGGATTTCCCCGTGCCTTGTCACGAGCCAGCAAATACTCACAAAAAGTTTCTCTCCAACAGGAAAGCCTTCACTGAACCAAGCCTGCTCATACACTGATTTTCACACTTCCTTTGATGAACAGGATTACTCGAGCCAGGCACTACAGGAAGTTAGGCACAAATTCTTCATAGTCTAAGTACTCCTAATAAAGGAAGATGGGAATTACACCAAACGTAAGCTGGATCCTCTCCTGTCACTCACTCATCATCATGTTTAAATAAACTATGAAACAGCCCCAGCTGCCCAGGAGGGATGGTGTACCACCCGCACATTGTAGGTGAAAACCACTGGCTTCCTATGCAGCTGCTCAACATGTCATCAAGTGCAGCAGGTGCTGCAGCAAAACAACAAAGGAAACATTCAAATTTAAGTACAGCTCCACAAATATTTTGGGATCCACAATGACTCTCCATTTAGCCATGCTCAAGCATTTTTTTGGTCTTTCTTGGATTTCCTCATCTGGGAAACCCAGCTTTTTGGGAAAGGAGTTCACATAGGTTCTTTCCTTCACCTTTCCAGGAGTACCCTGGAGAAGGTCTTGTCCTGTGTGCACAAAACACAGAGTTGCTGTTCCACTGAAATTACTCTGTGCCTTGCTCCAGTGACGTGAGATTGGTTAAAAGGTTTTTTCAAAGCATCCCAAACAGCTTTAAAGGATACTTGTTCGCAGTACAGATGTAATTACTAGGAACCACGTTGGCTTGTGCTGGGTGGTAAACATCAAGCTTAGTGTTACCGTCAGTTGTATGAAAGTTGTAGGTCAGGGTGGTAAAAACAGTCTGTTTGCTATCTAAAGTAATTAGCAGTTATTTCACACATACACCCACATGAACTGTGTTAATCTTCCACACTTTAGTCAAATCAGCAGTTCTGTTCACTACAGTCCTTTTTTGTGGTTTATGTTTCTGTTACCGACATAGCAATAGATAGTTCAAAGTACTGAAGTGGGGCAGGAGTAATTAACCAGGGATCACCAGGAGTTCTAGTAAAGCTACTCTGCCCAGTCCACAACCAAAAAGCAACTTGATACGTAGGCCATTGCTAATTAAGTTAATTACTGTATGTCCTCAAAAAAGTTCTGGTGAGTTTATGCTTCCCCACTTTAGGATTAGCAATAGATTTCTCAGATTTAGACTTGACCCTTTAATCGCTTTCTGCTGAGGTATCCTGATGTTAAAAGAAGAGCGCCAATTCTTTCTTTGGAAAAGGCAATTTGTTGACAGAAGTACCTCTCTTTCTTTATTATTATTATTGTTATTATTACTATCAGTACTATTTTTTTTCTGTGTGAAACTACATATTCAGATTATAGTATCAGACATGTTCTACAGCATATTACTTACTGTGCCTACCACAAGTAGATTTTCTTTTCTGCTCTGTAAATCACCTCTGTAACTGGCCGCAATAAAGCTTTACAGATTTTGTTGCTTCTGCTGAATCACATTTTGCCTTTGCTTATGTAAATATTGAAAAGATGCTGTAAATATTAAAACAAAAGGAAAGTTGCTGCAATCTTCCAAGGAATTGTGTGGTATCCCTTCTCTCTGTTTTTAAGGATGCCTGCAAGCTTTAACTGCAACACAGCTGGCTAAAGGGACAGCAAAGATGAGATGAGCTGAGGGTATGCACCCTGCAATGCTAAGGGTGCTGAGCTAATTTCCACCAGCTAAGAGCTCTGCTGAGCACATCCACTGTTTAGAAAGCACCGAAAGAAGATTTAAGAATGACTTTGGCAATGCTCTTTGTGGTTTTTTTGATCAATGACAACGTTACACATTGCCACATATTCATTTTTTCCTAGAAATTAATTCTTTGCCTTGTCACCAGCTGTAAATTGTAGTAGCTTGAGTCATTGGCTAATAGATCCCAATCTTCCTTCTTGAAGATACAGCAGTTGGGCATTTAAAGGAAACTGTCTGCAATGATTCATCAGAAATATAAGTCTATCATCCTGACTAGAATGCAATTTACAATTAACATTTTAATATCAGACACAAAGTAATTGATTTGTGTAGAGAAATAAGAACAAGTAGAAGTACACTGTTTTCCCAGATGCTCTGTTAAAACAACCATTAGTGTCAGCAGACTTTCCAACATCACTTCTGAGTAAAAAGCAACCTCGTTTAGAGTACGTGCAGCTACAGATGATGCTGTTTTTGAACGCAGCCATGAGCACACCTTTACACAAATCCTCCTAGATGAGGTCTACAGTGCCCTGTCTCACATCTTGTCAGAGGTTGCTCAAAACACCTCAGATTATGGAGACTCCCTATCAAAAATGTTGTTCTATATGAGTAATAAAACTAGCACTTCAGCAAAATTATTGACATCTGTTAAATTTTTTGGCAAGAAACACAGGTTAAAATCATCCTCTTTATAGAAGAAACAAAACCAAGTTTTAGCTATTTATGTGCTGCATAACACTCCAAGTTCACAGCCAGACTGGGTAATGGACTAAATTGAGACCTCATTCAAGTTTGCCATGACTTTCAAAAGAAAAGAATCACCTTGCACAATTTTTGGAAGCATCACTGGCTCAGATTTACACCAGTGGAAATAAGGATGGAATTTAAGTACTTTGGATAAAATGAATACATTTTTTAAAATGATTACTGTTAATAAAAACTTCTAAGTACTTGCAAAGCTTATGTAGGTCTGAACTCAAAAAAATCACTACACAGAAATAAGACTGGCAAGTGTTTCTATTTTTTTTTAGGTTTCTTTTTTTTATGTTATATGAAGAAGGCATGAGTGCTTGATTTTATGTTTTGAAAAGGGAAGGATATGCTGTAACTGCTGTGAATGCCACCACAAGGACCCAAAAGCTGATCAATCAGAGAAGGACTTCTACTGAATCTATTAAGGATTTTGTTTGTGACACCTGTTTATTGTAGTAGTGAATGACACTAGCTGAAATACATGGCAACTTACAGCTCTGAAGATCTTTTTACCAGACAAAGTTAATTAAGAAGACCAAGAGATACCTGAAAACAGAAAGCAAAACACACACACAAAGAAATCTGATGCAAAACTCCAAAATTTGTAAATCTCCACTACCTTTGCACTTCCTTAATGACCTGCAAAAGAATAGAAAGCCTGTTAAAAAAGGCTCTGTCTGTTTATCTTTCAAATGGCCACACAGCTGCAAAAACTGCTGCTATCCTTCTTTGTGATGATCCTAAATTTCCATGGGTGGTCTGAGGAGTACAGCCATAGACATATCACGCCACAACATGGCAGGGGATGAATAGAGCGCAGAGTTTCCTAATGATGATCCGCAGCGTAAGTTACTTCTGTGCTACTTCGGGGAAAAAAAAATGTCCACGGGCGTGCTCACAGACAGAACATTGGGTTGTCCCATGCCCTCCTCCTGCCTGCAGCTTCCAGGCAGATGAAGTCATTACAACCCTCCTGCCCCCTGCAAAATGATGTATTCACTAAAAAATTACATAAAACCGAATCTGACCTGACCCTTTAGTCACATTTCATGTCCTCTCTGATACTTTGGGCTTACCTGGTGCAGTTTTGTAAGCTGCGTTTCTGGTGGGCATGGGTGGTGCGCTCTTCATAACAGGGCTCGGTGCCACCTGCATACCTTGCCGCTGCCTCTTCAACTCCTCTTCTCGTTCCTGGGCAGCTCTGATCTCTTCTTCTATCATCGATAAAGTCCGCTGCTTCCTTGACCGTAACTTGAAAGGGCCCACAGTCACCTCGGGTTCCTGCGTGGCCAGGATGGAGGCAGTGCTCCTCAGCTCAGCTGCCTCTGAATACTTGCTGAAATAGCTGACTTCATGTCTGTTTTCCTCCACAAGGAATGGCTGGCTGGCTGAGTATATGGGTGACTGCTGCAAGCTCTTCCCTTCCATGAGTCCTGAGTCTTCCTCTTTTGAAGTCTTTGGTATGGTGTCCCTTTTTTCTTGAACAGGTGAAGACACCTGGGGTGGCTGAAACATTGGGTTCTGCTGCTCCTTGGAAGGTGGAGCTGACCCGGTGGTGGCTGGCTGTTCTTTGACCGAGATCTCCTTCTCTGCTGGGATTTCTTCTTCCTTGCAGTCTGCTTTATCCACCTGCTCAGCTATGGCTTGTTGGATGGCGTTTTGAACCAGGAGGCCAGCATGGTATTCCAGCTGATCGTCAATCAGCATGGAGTCTGCCAAGGCAGAGGACAGCAAGTTACAACCTGGGTCACTGAATGATTTGGAGATGCCTTCACCCCTGCACTCTGCTGGAGTGTCAGCCTGCGGGGTCTGTGGCAGGGAAAAATCAGCCAGTGAGCTTTCCTGCAGGGCACTCATGGTCTCATTGGAGGCACCACTGTCGCTGATGTTATCCATGCTGAAGTCATTGGAAAGGGTCTCCAAGACAGTGGTATCCTGAGACCTGACAGACAAGTCATCCAAACCGGAGTCAAGCTCCTCTGGAGGGGAAGAAGCGCTGCCTGACTTTGGGAACTGGTCTAGCACACCCTGTCCATCATCTTTCACCACTGTGAAGACTGCTCTCGCACTCATGAATTCTCCATCCTCTGCCCACAGTTTTGAGGCCTGTCCGGCTCTGGGGCTATCATTGCATGGTAACTCTCTTACTGGGTCAGCAATGGTAGTCTGAGCACTTGTATCATCTTCTGAGGTACAGGAGACCTTCTGTGCTTTGACAACAGTGGCATTGTTACCCTCAAGCTGTCCTGTTTGGCTACACATTGAAACGGGTCTTGCCACGGAGGACAGTGGCTTGTCTACATGCGGAGAATTGAGGCTTTTGTAGAAGGGTTTGATGGAGAACATTTTGGGTGTTCCTGACCGCCTTGGTGGGGCCTGACCCTGAGATGGACCTGAATGCTCCATCAGCTGGAACTGCTTTCTGGCAGCTGAGAAGTCAATTTGCTCTGTGACAATATCCTCTTTCTTGATATTGACTGGCTCTGGCGGTACAAAGGAGCAGCTGACCTGTTTGGGGGATGTTGGTGTTGTACCTTGCTGCTGCTGTCTTTCCTTGCGCTCCTTGTACTTCTTGTGGGACTGCAAATGCTCTTCATCCAGTTGATCCTCCAGAGTCTTCTCTTGGGGAGGATTCCACCATTTGGTGGCAATGTTGGGATTTTTCTTGACAGCCTGGCTTTTAATGAGTTCCCTTCTTTCCTTTTCAAGTTCCACCATTTCCTCTGATGGTCTCACCTTGCGGACCCTGTATTTTTCCTTCTCTTCCTCATCTTCAAAGAGCCTTGAGGGCTTTTTGTCTTCATGGAAGGCTCGCAGTTCAAACTTAGCCTCTTTCTTAAGGGTCGTAAGAGTTGTTTCTCCATCCTTAGAGGATCTTCTAGAACTGTTTGAAGAAGTGGGACTTCCTGGCACCTTCAGACTCTCCCTAGTGTCTTCTTTCAGTCCGCTCAAGGAATGGCCATTAGATTTCAGGTTCTCATCTGTTATGCTAGCTTCATGTGGTTCAACTACCAAGGGTGCCTGCTTGTCAGCTACATTTTCTTCCCTTTCACTGGTTACTGAATCATTATTGACATTAACAGATGCTCCTGAGCCATCCATAACTGAGACTGCACTTGATTCAGGGGAGGATGTCCCATTAAAGGTATTATCTGCAGCAGAATCACAGCAATTTGCCTCCAGCACTTCATCTAGGTATCTGATCTCTTTAGCAACTTCACTGTCCAGAGATTCATGCCTGTCCTTAAGTCCATTGTGGCTGGAAGCAGCGGAAAAGAAGTGGGTTGGACTGTCTATGGGATGTGATGAAGCCACTGTGGTGATGCTTTTATGTTCAGAAACTGGAACTTCAATTTCCATTTTCTCTTCCTTTGTAGCAAGCGCAGTAGCTGGCTCCAAGAAATTGGCACAGTTTTGGTCTCTGTTTTTGCTCAACCTGATGTCATCCTCAGGGATTCTGGAAGATTTCTAAAATAAAAGAGAACAAAACTATGATGAAGTCCTGAAAAGCAACATTTTATTTTTTGCAGGGTAAACACCATCTGGAAAGCAAATCTTAGCGCTGCTTAAATTTAAGATTAAAGCAGCCACTCAAAGTGTGGGAAGGCAAGGCAAAGCATTAACACAAAAAATAGAAAGTTACCTTACCATAAGCTGGACGAGGCACTAAAAACCCAACAAACTTTCATTTAAGTATCTCCCATCTGCTTACCATCCTCACTTCGTCATTATTTCATGCCTGTGTCCTGGTTCGCCACTAGAAATGCACTTTGGGTTTCCAAGTTATTAATGACTTGCAGTTTAGGTTCTTCAAAGGTTTGCACATGCAGCACACAAAATCTATCATCTTGGTATTTTAAAAATGCTTTCTGCACTAAAGGAGATGTCATAATACGTCTACAGATGAAAAGTATTACTGCCCTCGTTTTGCAGAAACAGATGCTAACTTGCAGGAAGAGTAGGCGATTAATCCCAAATTAGGAAAAAGGATGTGGCAATCCTGGTCATCAAACATAGGGTAGAATTACATGGTGCTGGAAAGACACGGGGTCTTTCTCCAGCCCCCACAGAAACACAAACACAACTGGACCTAAGAGACAGGAAGCATTTGCAACTCCCACGGCTTGAAGACCACCACAAGTAGCATGACAGGGACCAGAGCCATGGTCTCCTTCCTCCCACTGCTTTTATCTGCAGTGCAGATGCACTGGATTCATGTTTCTCCCTGATGAGTTGCCTCTGCTCTTAGAAGGGTATTGAAAAAAACACTATTTATGTTCAGACATGGGCAGATTTTACTGGTCAAGCAGCCTACTGAACTTTCTGTCAGTAGGCTTCCTTAATCAGAAGGAACTTCTGATTAAGCTGGTAACAGTTCAATGAATTTCTCGATTATTCCTTACTGCTGAAAGGCAACAAAAGGGAACACCAAAAGAAAAGAAGAGGGCATTTTCAACGTTATTCTTCAAAAAGAACTTGCTAACTCTTGCAAACTCTTCCTAACTCCTGAAAACTGAAAGTGACCACATCTGTTCACTTTGAGTAACATTTTAAAACAGAAACTTGGTATCTGAGGTCTCCGACTCCCTTTCTACATGTGTTTCTATGTGTGAGGCATAGGCTTGAGAAGCAAATGGCCCTGATCAAACCTTGTGAATTCTGTGGCCACCCAACAAAGGCACCGTTGTCTGCTAGTCACCCCCACCCTTGCTGTCCCTTATCCTGCATGCTGTTAATACACACTGCAGCAGCAGATGATCAGCTAGGAGCACAATGGTACTTACCAGTGACCTGAACAATCACATTGCCTCTGGGTTTATACAAGCAGTAAAACGCATTCGACACACCTTAAGGAATTATAGCCAGCCAGCCAGAAGACCTCACTTTCTAAAAACACTTTGAAAGAGTTTTCTGTCTAATTATGCAGTTGTACACAGCTGAAGACAATATTGGCTTCAGCCATTAGATATTTTATCCTTAATTGTGCTTAAACATTGGGAAAAACCTTTAAAAACAAACAACCAAACAACCTGTTTTGGTCTATGTATTTTTCTTAACATACTTCATTGGTTCTACTTGCATTTCATTTTCTGTTGAACCTAGAAATTCTCCAGCTGAAGTTTCTAGCAGTGCTTTTCTTAAAGCATATTAAGTTTTTCACCAATTAAATGTCTACATGTGGCCAGTTTCTTCTTTAGTCCTATTAAGGATATATTCGAGAAATCAGATGTTCTGCAAACAAATAGAGAACAATCAGTATAAAAAGTCCTTACTTTTTTCAGTGGGCACAGCAGGAACAAAAGAATAAAGTTTCTTTTAACCTGAAAGGGCAAGAATTGCTCTTGATTTGCCTGCAGAGCTCAGGTATCATGACACAACAGGTACTCAGGTGACAGGACTAAGACTGCAATACCTCTCTGATATTTGGGTTTACATCTCCCCTGTCTGACTTCCTGATGCAAAATGGGGGATGTTGCTACTTGGAGCAGTCTGCACAAAGGGACATATGCGTCAGTGGGGGACTGCTGGCTGTCCCCTTTTACACAATCCATGAGTATGCCATCATGCTTCTGCTAACATTTGCTTCTAATCAGTCAGATCAAAGCCACTAGTGACACTGATAGCTAACTACATGTCCTCTGTAGCCACAAGAACACATCTTCAACGAACGCAGAAAATCAGGTAACAAAGCTGTGCACCCCAGCCACTGAAACACATCTCCCTAGAGCCAAACCAGAGCTGAAGTGCGCCCCAGTCCTGTGCTTCTAGTACCTCCAGGCCATGGAGCTGGGAATATGCCCTAAATTGTCCCAGAGACCCCATTCACTAAAGCATATCTACTTCCATCACTGCTTTAAAGTATGAACCATTTCAGACCATACCATGTTTGGGTATTCAAATTAGGGAAGCGAACCACAGGTGCAGTATTTTACCAACTTCTTAACAAGTTAAGAACCCATCCTCTCATCATAGCTGCCATCCATAGCTCACAATTAAGGCATAGACATGTAACTGTCCAATCAGGGCACACATTCATGACAGTATGTAATTCTGAAAGTGCATGTGTCTGTGCGATTAGTGTGCCACACGTAATAATGTAGCAAGACAGACGATTATGCAGTAAAACCTATAAGAAAACATTACTACTTATAGGAGGGAGCCTTTCTTTGCTGGGGATTAGTAATTGAGCAAGGAAAAGGGCTCCCAGCAGGGCAGAGAAGCCAGAGAGAGATGCTAGTGGTGGAAAAAATATGATTTAAAAAAACACTCAGTTTTTCCCTCGAACACATTCTGGCAGAATCTGGGGATAATTTCATGAAGACATAGCAGTAACAGTATGCTCCAGACACTCCTGTGAGGAGCAGAAGTCAATCTACTGATAAATTACCTGAAGAAAATAACTGAGAAGATCATCATGATGGAAGAAGCCGACAAAACAAAGCTTTTCAAGACAGTTCAGGCCACAGAGCCTGTCCAGGATAACTGCCTGGGTCTCAGAAAATGGCACATGTTGGGATGATGACACCATGGGTGGGAGGAGGCTTGGAGGAGGGTGGTGGGATGCACACAGACCCCCTGCCTCAACTATTTGGCAGAAGGAGGCAAGCTTGCCAGGGGGCTTCTTTTGCTCCTTGGTGATAAGTATGTACCAACAGCTTTGTATTCACCGCCTACAGGGAGGACGCTTTTCAAAGCCTGAACCATTACAAAGGCCTGTAAATGGGAAAAGGGCTGCATTCAGTCCTAATTGTAATCAGCAATACAGCATTCACAGTGATTCCCATACACTGCTCATCTAGACCCAGATTTTCCAGAAGTTACTGTTACATTTACACAGTTTCTGAACGTGCATTCATTTCTGTTAAAGTCAAGATGCAACTGGGTAATTAGTGTCATTTCTACAATGCCGCTGCACTTTAGTAAACTGCAGTTATTAGCATCTCAGAGAATTATTAGCATATTTCCTCCTTGGTTGAATTCTTCATCTACAAAAGTGTAAGTGTTTGGGCATTCAACTCTTTTAGAAGGAAAAAAATGTGGGTGTACTACTAGCAAGACCCAGCAAATATACTGCCAGTGCCTTCTTTTGTTTGATGCAACCCCAAATGCATATGACAAGTGGGAGGCAATTCTTCTGAGCCACATCAACATTCTTCTGAAGCAATAGGGGTGGAGGGGGGGAGGAACAGATTAAACAACTAAAAACATTTCATGGTTTAAAAAATCGAAAACATGGTTTCCTCATTGCGGGCTTCTACCAATCACTCCAGCCAAGTTTCAGGACAGCTTTTGATGCTGCTAGACTCCTGGTGTTGTCAGCATTGTTGACTTTCCATTTCTTCGGGTTTTATCTCCCTTTGCATATGTCCTGCCCTGCATCTGCTTCTCCTATCACTGACTGATCACTGAGCCAGTGCTTTGTTCAACCTTTTGCTTTCTGCTTTTGGACCTAACTCTTGAGCCCGCCATGCCTCTGGCAGTTTTCATACAATAGTGTAACTTGTCCCTAGGACATTTGCATATGGCTGACTGGCTACTCCACACCTCCCTGCTGATGTCAATCCTCTTCTCCCTCTTCACCGACTGTCTTGGCCTGCCTGTCTGATGTCTCTCTGCAAAGGAGAAGGAACCAAATGATGGATTCGCTAGGAGGTTGACTCTAGCAAACCTTCAAGAGAGCAGTTGCTTTCATTCAACTCATCCTTTTGAAGTACGCAGTCACCATCTGTGTCACAGATGGAGCTGGTCTCAAGTACTGCAAAGATACAGAAGTCCTCTGCACCTCTGTGCTTCCGGATGGCCACCCTCGTCAGTGATAAAACCCCCAGGCAACACAGGTATTTCTCCAATTTTACTAGAGATAGCAAGTATTTCTTTAGACAAATTGTTTTCTGTAGAAGAATGGTACAACACAGAAGTGTTGCAATTCTTAACTGAGAGAAGGAGTTAAGGGAATCTTAACAGATAAGATGTTGTATAGCCCTAGGAATTGAATTAGCAGGTGTGACTCAAAGGTGCGGCTTAATGATTTGTTAACTATTCTGTAAATTAAGTGAGGTACGAAGTTTTGCAGCTCCTCACAAAGGACAGCCCCCGATAAAGATCGGAAACTTGCCTTAAGGACCTGTTAAAACCTATCCTGAAGCAAGAGATTACTAGTGGTGATGAAGAGAGCCATCAGCCTTCATCTCCACGACCCCCGACGACCACCACGAGGAGGCACTGCGCAAGCGCAATCGGGAGGAGTCCATGGAAATGACCTCTTGGAACTAATTTCAATCAAAAGCGGGGATAGGTCATCCATATGTATAGGCGTGTTGGGAAATCTCATGTATATGTAACACTGACCTGTATAAGTTTGAAGCCGGTCGCCACGTGGGGCGCGCACGACTTTGGTGGGACTACCCCCCGTGCTGCCCGGCGCCGAATAAACATACCTACTGTACAGTCGTACAGGTTGT